TTTATTATTATTATTATTATTAGCTACCCAGGTGCAAGATAATACAAAACCAATAGGTACGGGAAAGTCTCTGCCATTCTGTAGCATTACTGGTTGAAAACTTTTAGTCATCTACCCAGAGAGTCAGGCTTCGAAAGCGACATCAACCTTACTCTTGCGTTCTTGACTTTTTTAAATTTTCATTGAACCAGTGGGGCTCTCAGGTCCTTCCAAACACCACACTTCCTTCTTTTAATAAAATACCCTATTCGACATTGTTCAGTGCACACAAAGATGTGCACTATTGTGATGTTCACAAGATATGATTACTCTTCGGAGACACTTGAGTTATCTAATAAGCCATGGATATTTCGCAGAAGTTTAAAATTACTACTTAAAGCTCAAGAGAAAAGGTTAGTATTTCTCAAATACCCGCTCCGTTTAAATGAGCAGAAAACCGTTTTGTAAGTTCAACAACAGGCTTTGCTAAAGGTTGCTGTTTATCCAATTCGAATATTTATTTATCTTTTAATGCCGGAAAGGCATGCAACTAATTGATATCAAGTTTACGTGAGTCTTTAAGGTTCTTATTAAAAAATGCTTCCCGTCCGGATGTACTGAAGACATGCAGAGGATGCAGTGGTGCGAATTAAATTTTATATTATTGGAAGGGAGGGGCTATTGTTTATTTATTTATTAGTTCGTATTTTATTTTCATTTTGGCTGTAAGATAATGGTTATTTCCTTGAGGGAAGTTATATTATTTTAGTTTGAATTGGCTGAGTTATAAGTTCATTTTATTGAGGTGAGTGATGTGGTGGTGACAGACGGGTAATTTTGTGGAAGGTGGAATGTTGCTGTGCCTTGTTGCGTTGTTATTGTTATGGGTTTTCGGGTGGAATTGGGGGGGTGAAGATATCGAGTGGGTGTATTTTCTAGTGTGGGGTGTTGAAGGTTTGGAAGGAAATACGCGGTGTGGTGAATTGAATGGTGTTGGCTATAGCCTTTTTCCGTTGTATCTTGCGCTGCTGCGGGAACTTTGGTCGTTAGAAGGTTCCTGACGTTGACTTGATTGTCAAGTAGCATTGGTCTAGTTTGGGTGTAAATATGTCTATTATGTTGTCTATTATTGTTAGTCTCAGATACTCTGGAATGTCTCTCAGGTCTGGCGGGAGAATCATACTATTGGCTTGACATAAGTTTGGTCTTCTAATATATTTCAGTATATTGAGAAGACATTCGGTGCCTGTGCATTTGGAAGTCGATATCCTTTTTTTTGTTGTTTTTTTCAATTTCGTTTGGTTCACAGTGTTTTTTGGTCAAAAGTCATTTCTTAGTATTTAACGTCTTTTGTCCATGAAATGTTGATGTTAATTAGCGGATGTGGTTCGTTATGGGATGTCTTTTTTGCCACGGGAAAATAATTGCCTGGCATTTCGATGGATTAATAATTATAATTTTGACAATGGTCCAGTTTGTAAGTTGTGTTGTACGACGGAGTGTGTGAAATGTTCATCTTTTGCCTCTCCCAGTCTTTGGCACGTGAGTCGAGTCATCTGCGTTAAGGAATACGTCGATTCTTGGTGCAACTGGAATGTCATTAAGAACTATTGTAATGGGACCGACGGACGCGTCAGGTGGCGACGCGCAACGTTGCTGTGGAAGGAGGCATGGGAATGTGCACCTTTCGCCACAACCACTCAGGCACGCCCCGGCTGCATCTGCTTACTCACCGCGAAATGCGGACGCTGCTGCCTCATAAGCCGACAATTCAGCTGTACCTGTTCTTGGAACTTGGGTGCCGTTTGAGTTGGAACGGAATTTGGCAGGCGCAAACGGTGATTAATGACGCTGCGATCAAGAGGAAGAAACCGCGTGTCGTGCGCCCGCTGATCGCGGAAAACGAAGCGTGGGAGGGCCACGTGACCCCGTGGAACTGAGGTAGCTGCAACGTACATGGTTGGTCATTCCGACATAGGTGATAGCGAGGGGATGAGGGCGAGTTTCTTTGGCTTCTGGGGGACGCCATTGAATGCAGCATCGCCACGGGCAATGACTGGGTGCCCGACCTCGAGCGCAGGACTGACGACGTGCCGAGGCGTGAGCACTGCGCCAAGTGCCAGGGCGATGGGCCGCCGCTCGCGGAACGGCTCGTGGCCGCCGAGAAGGGCGTCGCCCTGCTCCGGATGAACTCTGGCCTGTACGGCCGAATTGGAGATTAGTTGTTAACTAGTTTTAAGAAGTAATTATTACGGGATGGCTTTACCTAATAAAAAGGGAGTGTTGAATCCACCTTTGAAAATACCATGTTTCAATGCAGTACTAGAACGAGAATAAGTCCTATCTTGCCTCCTTTTAAAAAAATCTACGGACTCAGCAGCCTGGGCAACGCTGGATCGCCGCAAACAGGTGTGTCGGGGCAGCAAATGGTTAGTGTTGCAATATGGAGAACAGTTTTGGGGAAGGGACAGCTCCTTGGGGGTCGCGGACGGCGGTTGGATGTGAGTGGCCATTGCAGGTAGGGACTGGGACTTGGAGGAAGGAATTGTGAGAGGTAACTGCGGAGCAGAGAGTGCAGGCAACTTGGAGGAAGAGAATGGCGTGCTTTACAGTCAAACGCATCGAAAACGTATGTCGTCTTTTCTGAAGTGTCTTGGCTACGTTCGTCAGTCTGAGGGTTTGAAGAGTGCGGATTTGTTTTCGGTAAAGCCAAATCGAGTCGTTTTGGTAACGTCACTCAAAACTGATGTCAATTGTCGGTGACTTATTTGTTCAAAAATTTTTCTAATGATCGGTAGTAGGCTTATTGGTCGGTAACTATTGATGCGTTTGAGGTCATTAGAGACATCTTTGGAGAACTATTCTTTGGTGATCATTATAAAGGTGGCTAGTTTCCATTTCGCCGCGAAGCAAGTCTGTGTAATGATGGCTTTTAAAATCTTTGTCAAATGGTCTATTGCGTTTTTGTCAAAAGTTTGAGGGCGGCTCACAGTGGTTGATTTCCAAGATCCAGCGGTATTTAAATCAAAAATACATATGCTCGAAACGAATGAAAACCTACGTGGGCGGGTTTCTAAGAGTCTTTCCAAGACTGTACCTATTCCCATAAGTGCAACATTCATTGCTCAGTAGAATGGGGTGGGGGTGTTCAGCGAGCTCTTCCAAGCCTCACGCGCAGCCATGCCTAAGTCTTGCTTTGACGCGCTTGGTGTTATTTCCCACTGCCACTGAATTGTTAAGGATAACTTCATTGTTTGATATGGACGAGAATCTAGAAAGCATTTTCTTTAAAATGATCTAACGTTTAATTGAAAATTTTAAATTTTGGTGTGTATTTTATGTGAGAAAGTATCACCATATATTTGATACAGGTTTCTTAGTGATCGGAAATTTAAACTGTGTTATCTTGAGTTGCCAGCAATTGACAAGAATGGTCTTTGCTCGATTGCATTATCTGAACCTTATTCACCTTCTATTCACCTTCTGAACAAAATGGCAAAAACCATTTTTGCCCGAATTTGCCCCTTTTCGAAAGAATCGATTTTTTTCAGAGGCTTGTACAGTCACGCGACGGGAACTATTCGAGCTCTTGCGTGAGGATGAACTCTCTTATGCCACAGATTTACGGAATAGAAAAATGCTAATGCAGTATGTTTCTCGTAGTGTTCTGGAAGTATTCCAGAGGCAGTAATAAGTGAGAAGACACGGAGATTCACCTGCCCTATTGCTGGCAAATGGAAGGCAGTACAGAATGGTAGACAGATCGAGCGGCGGCAAGGACCCCACCATGATTGGGCGACGAAATGTTGTGTGTCTGGGAAGAAGCGCAGAAAACGGCGAAAGGTAGTCACGTAAATGAATTATCTTCATGTTTGAAGAGAACAAAAAGGAGAAAAGTACACTCCCATTAAATTCGAATTTGTGGTGTGACAACACTTAGCACAAAAAGAAAGCACACATGCAAAAAAAAATTGTACTACTTATGTGCATCACAAAACAAGGAAGTGGTACATCGAACTATGGGAAAAATTGTGTCAAAATCTGGAGCAGTACACTAACATCACTGGGATAGATGGAAGTCTCGTTCGCCGCTTCTCAGTTGTTTTACAAGGAGTGAGAAGCGGGTATGTTGTGACAACGGAAAAAAAGCATTTGAAACAATAAACTTTTACGTCAGTTTATACGGTTATATGGTTATTTCAAGCGTGCAAATATTAATTCATGACGCTGATGTCATTAACGAAATGATTGTACCAATAGGAAAACTGTCCGAAGACACGCAGGATGCTCGACACAAAGAAAGCTCGTCACGTCGAGAAAGTTGTACTTAAAAATCATCTAGAGTTCGTGGCAATGAAGATATGCTTCATTTCCTATTGATTTCTTCTGACTCAGTAATAACAAGCATCCGGTGACTATCAACTGAGGAATCAGCAACCGACGGAAGGTTTGAAGTTGTGTGTGTTCCTGGAGGTGATGTGTCACGTGAAGGTAGAATAGCAGATTCAGAGAGCCTTAATCTACTATCGTAACTTTTGTTTGTTATTACTTTTTGTAATTTTTTTATTTGCACTGATAGGTCTGAATTAGAATTAGAATACTTCATTTTAAGTTAGTCTCGTGAACCTTTAGTATGAGTAAGCAATTGCATGGAGTATCTCTTAAGCAGTTGCAACATTGGTAACCTCGCAATCTCTATGAAGGCTCGAGGGCAATGAATTTATTATTATATTTCGTTCCCACATTACAAAATAATGGAAAAAGGCACAAGGAATAATGCTGACCACTTTCAACAGCGTCGGCTTCACTGTTCTCTTGATAATATTTTAATACCGCTAGATGAAGGAAATCAACCACTGTGCGGCTGTCTGTATTTCGTTAGATCCCGCTGCTTTGGTCGTGTTGAGAAGTCTTAGTTTCTTACGTACGTCTTTGTCACTAAACCTCCATGGAGTTTGTGCTGCAGGGGATAGGGGTCGTAAGACAGTTGAGCATGGTTTGTGTGCGATTTGAATGATACGATGGGAAATGGAAGTGGACAGGGAGGAGATGAAATGTTCAGCATTTGTCTGTTGGACGTATGCGATTTTGTATCCTAGATGGAGGAAATAGGAGTGTCGGTTGTTTTTTTGTTTTTCTTGCTAGCGCTTACTTGCTTTCGCTACGTAGTGGACGGAAAGTTACGTAATGCGGCGCTATAAACGGCTAATTTTAGGCATAAAAGCTCTCCGTGGTCCTGGTAACAAATATGTAAATTAATTCAGTTGCTATTTTTTTAAATCCCTCCAACACGTGGTGTAGCGCTTTTCTGTGTAGCCTTGATACCGAAAAATCAAATGACTGCGAAACATCTGTCCATCCTTCTGTGAACAACGCTAGCGGCTAAACCATTCTGCCTCGTCCAGGCGCCGCCGGAGGGGCAAAGGTGCCTTCTGCCCGCGGCACGTCGATTGATATTTAGAATTTACTTATATTGACATATAATGTGTTTTACTTCGAAACAATGTCTTGGTAATAAAAACCCTTTTAACTGTTGCCGGCGTGAGCTTGAATGTTCAAAAGTCGCTTATGACGCGCCGAGGGCAGCCCTGTCTGAGGCGGCTCATCGCGAGGAGTGCAACCGTTGCGCTTTGGCTGAAACATGATGTAGTTTTCATTGTTTGCTTTTTGATGTTTTTTAGGTTGCTGAATTTGGATCTGGACTATTTTTGATGGAATGTAAGTTAGAACAAAAAAATATAAAAAAATAGCATTGTTCTGTTTTTAGCGATATTTAAAGAAATTAGACATAACATTACTCTTTACCAAAGAGTCAACATAAAAGGTCCTGCAATTTAGATTCTTACAACGCTTTTGTTACGTTCACTGTTTGGGCGTAATTGACAGTTGAATATTGACCAATTTTGTTCTTAACTTAATGTCAGCTCGGCTTTATATTTGAATGGCCAGTCAGAAACCTTCCGGAAGAAGAGCTGTGATATTGCGCACGCGTTCGCACGAGGGGTGGATTTATGGCTGTCTTGTGAAGCGGGGACATAACATCGCTCTGGCGGCTCAAGCGATTCTCCTTGAAGAGCTGCTTTCTCATGTTTGGTGACGGTCGATGGCTACGTTCCTCGAGGGGAGCGGGGGCGGCGAATCTAGCACCGCTCGGTCCCTGCCCCTGCCTCTGCCTCTGCCCCTGCCCCTGCCCCTGCCCCTG